CCTCTCTGTCTCACAGAAATATGGGTATTTTATCAAAACAAGATTTAAGGTTCAATTCTACTCACCTTGGACAGGAGATGATAGTGGCAAAAGAGACTCCAGAATAGTTTTGCAACCCCTTGCCTGAAGTCAGCCTTTAAATATCTTGTCTTCATTGACCTCCTGAGACACTCATCCCTGAATAATGTCTACACCACCACACCCCACCCCCTACCCTGACAGATGGGTTTACAGCCAGGCTTATTTGAACTTGTCATTATGTCTATTTGGTAATGGTTTTTCTGACTGGTGTGCATGTCTTTCTTGTGTACTTTCTTTCCATGACCCAACCAATAGACACTTCCTCAACAGGCATTAATTGCCACCGATTGTGCGTTTTATTGTCATTATCATAGTTTTATTGTTGAGCATGCCCACGTCAAAAGGAATTAGTTTAAAAATCGATACAAAGGAACTGATATGTAGACATTTCCATCCATGAACATTTGCATTCGTGAAGAAAAGACAGATGTATATGGAGCATAGAGTATTACATTTTTATTCGGTAAATAAGAACTTTACTGAAACCTGTCATCTATATTGCATTATAATGGTCGGTATAAGAATTAGCATTACAGCATCATCCATTGACAGTCATAATGCATTAAGGTGTTGATCATAATACTTCATAAGCTCCAATGAAGCTGTCATCTAATACTACACTATAGATAACTTTATAATGCCTTATAATGGTTGGTGTAAGAATTAAGGATCCTTTGTACGGCATTATTAAGGCATCTATAGTTTGTTATACTTTGTAAGGTACTGAGATCAGTATTGAAAAAATTATGTTGACAATGTTTTATCCCATGTGTGCTGGTTTTATGTGTCAACTTTGTATTTTGGATACGTGTTGTTATTACAACATGGTGTTCTTATGTTACAAAAACACGTATTAATCAATCACATCCCTCATGAAGAGAAGCTGAATGAGGATAGAAGGATGAATGAAACGATTAAATCTAATACAAACTACAAATATGTTTGTTAATAAGTGATCATATTGTGTAGTGTTGTGAATTCTAATGGGTTTATGTCCCATCAAGTATAAGTGTGATATAAAGGCAGGAACAGCAGTTCAAAGACTTAATAATATAACTATACTGCCTTGAATTGCTAAATAATAAATTAATTAATTACGGTAAATATTATTTAATCACTTGCAACATGATCTGAGTCTACAGTGATCACACACATATCTCCTATGAATACAAGAATAGCAGGTTCCTTTGAAAGGCAGCATTTTAATCATTTAGCCCATTCAATTTAACATTCTTTGCCCCTCCAGAAAATGTGTTAAAACTCTTGCGGACGATTTTTCCATATTAATATTTCAGGAGGATGCTCAGCAAAGGCCGATTCCTCAAATGCTGATATCCCATCCTGCTACTATACAGAAAGACAGAGAACACAACAGGGGGGACGTGGGGCTTTTGTCACCACAGTTGCCTGGTCAACTGGTGAGAAACAAATGTATTTGTTTGTCAAAGAATAGTTACTATTTTGTTTTTCTTTTGCTGCTCATCCCTGGACTGATTTGTAATCAGAGTGAAGGTTTTAAACTTTAGCATTTACAGCCGCAGAAAAAAGTAAGAGATCACTTTATATTATTAAACAAATCCCATTCTTAATACATAGGCTTTATATGGAGCTGGCCCACCCTTTGTAGCTATAGCAGCTTCAGCTCTTCTGGGAAGGCTGTCCACAAGGTTTAGCAGTGTGTTTATGGGAATTTTTGACCATTCTTCCAGGATTCTTTGTGAGGTCAGGCACTGATGTTGGATGAGAAGGCCTGGCTCACAGTCTCCGCTCTAATTCATCCCAATGGTGTTCTATCGGGTTGAGGTCAGGGCTCTGTGCAGGCCAGTCAAGTTCCTCCACATCAGACTCACTCATCCATGTCATTATGGACCTTGCTTTGTGCACTGGTGCGCAGTCATGTTGGAACAGGAAGGGGCCATCCCCAAACTGTTCCCACAAAGTTAGGAGTATGAAATTGTCCAAAATGGCTTTGACTGCTGCAGCATTAAGAGTTCCTTTCACTGGAACTAAGGGACCAAGCCCATCCATCTATCCATCCATCCATCTATCATTCACCGCTTATCCGAGGTCGGATCACAGGGGCAGCAGTCTAAGCCCAACCCCTGAAAAACAACCCCACACCATAATCCCCCCTCCACCAAACTTTACACTTGACACAATGCAGTCAGATCCATCGGATCGTCTATCCGATTGCCAGACAGAGAAGCATGATTTGTCACTCCAGAGAACACGTCTCCAACACTCTAGATTTCAGTGGCAGCGTGCTTTACACCACTGTAATGGCATCCTACCACGCTTGAATTCACTGAGCTCCTGAGAGCGACCCATTCTTTTGTAAATGTTTGTAGAAGCAATTCATAGTTGTGGCTATGGAAGTGATTGGAACACCTGAATTCAATGATTTGGAGGGGTATCCTAATACTTTTGGCAATATAGTGTATATTATTCACAGACACACACCCATAAATGTAGAAATGAGTGAAACAAAAATGTGCTGCGATCTCTTATTTTTTTCTACAGCTGTATGCTGTGATACCACGGAGCCCCCAAAAGCTCACTCGCAAAATTATGTTGTGCGAAAGCGAAAGTAAGTCACGCACACACGAAAGGAAGAGCATTTAATTTTTTTGCACAGGTCCCTTCAGGGGCTCCATATGATAAGTGGTGCTTATTTATGTTTCTGAAACATGTACAAAACAGCTCTGGAAATAATCAAAATGGGTCCTAAAAAAATTGGAACATAACTGGATTAGTCTGGATTGAGGGCCCAATATGATATGCTGACATGGGCCCCAAAATCTCTATCAGCACCCCTGGCAAAAGGCTTACACTGTCACGCTGCTAAACTACGTCATCATCTAGAGAAAAGGAGCTTCATCATCTCAATATGAGATAATTATGGCATTATCGCAATCTTCGTGTTCTTGAGATGTCGAGATAATTATTGCAGAATGGTAGCAGAAGAAGAGAAGAAATAAATGCTGGCTAGCTCAGAAGTATGATTCTCCCCTCCCCCCCCCTCCCCCCAGCAAGCTACAACTACACCCAACACGATTTTGACATCAATGCCAACCATTACTCCTGTCACTTAAGGATAAGGACACGTCAGTATGTTACTCTGATGCTACTCGTTCTGAAGCTGGCAAAAACAGAGAAGCCATGCATTAGCGGTATTATGAAGTTCTACTCTATCTCCTACTGCAAAGTGACCAAAATAAAGGCCTTTTGTAATTTTTCTGGAACATTTCTGATAACTATAATATATCTTTTAATAAATCTTGACTGTTTTTGACAACTGGAATCTCCTAACCATGCCAGACCTATCACTTAAAGGACCAAAAATAGGTTGTAGTATAACCGTTTATGCAATAAATTTACAGCCTCCTCCATCATTAGCAATGGAGTTCACAAAGAAGGTAATCTATCATTATTATAAAGTATAAAAATGGACTCAACTATAAGTCCTAAGCTGCGGCCTTAAGTATAAGAAATTCTTAAGTCTTCAGTCATGTTGGCCTAACTACCCCAAGTGGCTTAACGTATGTCATCAAGTCAAAGCACACATGACATGCACATACTTTTCCAAATAAAGTATTGCAGAGACATATTCAAGGAAGGGTGATGTTTTTTCATCCCATCTAAATGCAGTTCTGTCACTTTAATGTCATTACTGTGTACCTAGTGGATGAAAACTAATAAAATAAACACTAAATCCTCTTCCACTATTATGTTTTGAATCACTGGCAGGAGGCTGGAGATGTATCTGCTGGTTCTTGAGCACACAGAGATGCTGGAATTTTGGATATGGTTCCCATAAAAATGGGAGAGCAAATTTAATAAATGACACCAGCTGCACCAGGCTGGCTGATGACATGTAGGTAAATCTGAAACGAGTTTGCAGGAATTGGCTGATCTTTCATGATCAGCCACTGACTGTGGATTGTGCTCGTGTCACGCGTCTCTATACCTACAAAGCACTATAATTAGTCTTTATTGAGCATATGATGACCAATAGGCTTGGCCTGAAATACATAGAGGTTCAGTTCTTCAATGAGCACATCTCATTCAAAATGTTATACACATGATACAAACTTCATTATATTTGAGTACATCATCTTGAAAATCCTTCATCTTCTTGAAAGAACCAGGTATCAGCTTATTGGTGGTGTTTACCTTTGATGAGATTTAGATTGACTTACTTGCAAGAAAATAATATCTGTAAAGCTTGTGTTAGGACTGAATTTTCAGGTTCTTGGGCATGCAGAAAGAAAATGGACAATCCATTTTTGACATTTTATGGAAAACCTCCAAGAACAATAGTGTAGCTGTGTTACAAATAATTTTTTGAATCAGTTCTCACTATATCAGCTGAAATTAATTAATCACACCCACTTGAAGATAGGACTCAATATCATCTTATAAACCAACTGAATTGCATTATGACAGTACATTTTTTAACTACTTTTGCGCTTTGGCTAGTGGAACTGCAAATTCTTATTTAGTGCAGATTGTAATTATTGCTTCTTCTGTGGGTTTGTGAACCAGATACAGTACACAGAGACATGAGGCCATTTTTTGGCACTGTTCGTTATATACTATAAAATTTTTAATTGTATAATTATATGAAATAGTTTAATCATTTCCCTGAATCCAACTTTGGTACTATGTATGAATAATTATGTATATATGTATATCTATTTGAAGCATCTTATTTCTTTGGCTTGGTCTGAATTATAATTAACGGTGTAATTTTAACATTTTTCATCGCGCTATAGTTTGCCTAGATTTCTCTAAACTGATGACACACTTTCATATACAGTTTCTAGTGCATCGATATTTTCTTGGGTTTGGTGTTCCAATTACCTCACTGGCTCCTCTCCCTCCCTCGGTCTTTTTTGAACTAGTGCTGTTGACTTAAGGTTTTCCTTCATTACGCAAGAAAGAAGACATGTATTGTGCTAAGATAAGTATTGTGCGAAAATTAACATTTATTCAAAAATTCTTTCGTTATTGCGTTTAAATAGTTTCAAACTCATTCAAATTGACGTTTCAATATTTTTTTTTTATAGCGAACTGGTTTAGTAAAACTATACGTGCTTTGGTTAATTTGGTTAATATAGTGATGCGCTTGATTTCAATACCGTGCTCCTGAAATTGAATGTAAACAGAAATGAAAAGTGACGGGGGTCTGTCAATCGGCTGCGCCAAATGATAAAATCATACTGTCATGACGCTGAACAAAATTCCTATATGAAACTCTATTACAAGACGTCGGACATACGAGTTGCAGAAGGGGTCTGCGGATCTCCTCCCGGTGATAGGACTGCTCCCGGCCGTCATGCCACCTAATCTGACCGCTACCAACCAGACCATCCAAGATCCGCACACTGACCACAATTTTCCAGCTCTGATCAGCGGGATACTGCTGATAATCCTTATAATTTGTGGCAATTTACTAGTATGCATTAGCGTATACACAGAAAAAGCTTTAAAAACAACTACAAACTACTTCATTGTCAGTTTGGCAGTTGCAGATTTGCTATTGGCGGTATTGGTTTTGCCGTTGTATGTGTACGCTGAGGTAAGTGATTATAAAGCTTTGTTTTATAACCACTAGGGTATAGGTGACAGGAGTCGAAATCGATCTTAAGGACTGGAAATATAAGCCACTATTGTCTATAGTTATGTGCACAGTATTATATGTATGTTTTGTAATCTACTTTTATTTTCTATGTTCTGATTCTCAACGTCCCGTGGATTTTGCTAGTTATTTTATTATAGAATGTCATTTTCCATGTCTCGTGTGTTTTACATTTTAGATTTAATATGCCACACAAGTTATGCGTCAAGTAAAAAAGTAACTTAAGCTTGCTGTATTGAAGGGTGTTCACGTTTGTTTTGCTTTGTACAAGTTAAAATTTATTTTAGTCATATTATAGATTTGCCAGTCAGACATGATGACAACCTTATTTTGTCTTCCAATTTTTTTTTCTTTCCAATAACCACTTATCAATTGCGAAACTTTTAAAAATGATTTTATTATGATTATGATTTGTTATGGTTTACTTATAATAATGTTTCGTTATCTGGCGACCATGCTAGCAATTTTACTTGAAATGGTTTTATACTGTGTACAGTTTACGGTATTGGTTATATCTTAATACAACACAACTACGGCAAAGCACCATATTTGATTGTTAAATGTAAGTAACGTACTACAGAACATTTGTCTCTTAAGTAGTGTTAAACCTCTTCCAGAAGGATGCTTTTAGCTCTACAGTGATATCAAGCTTCTGGTTCCTGAAGTTAGTAATGTCTTAACATTCATGAGTGCAAATATCTTTCTAAGAGTAGTGCTGGAGTGAATCTGCATAGTGCAAATCTTGAAGTTTTAAGTTGTTACTCCTGTCCTGCCACAATGAGATCCATCTTGTAAAAAATTATGGCACCTTGTCCAAGCCTAACAGTGAATCTTTTTTTCAAAAGCACAAAGAATAATACGTAATATGCACCCTTTTAATGGACTATTATTGCTTGTGAAAACATTAACAAATATAGATAGGAACATGCACACAACCATGCTGACATATACACAAAGAGCTCACCAAAGCCAGATTTTTATACACATGGTATGTGGTTCAACCATATTACTGCAAATCTGCCTGGAGACTTGGGATTCAAGCTTAAAGATGAATTTTCAAACTCTCTCCAGTTCCTCGGTGGTGTGTGGACCCTGAGCATGATCTTCTGTGATGGTCTGATGACCATGGATGTGATGTTGTGCACAGCTTCAATATTCAACTTGTGTGCAATCAGCATTGACAGGTATCTCACTCATTTTTGGCTTACTGGACTCATTAAGCAGTAGTGCTAATTGACATTACATGTGTAATGACACATAATTTACATGCAAAAGGTATCCACAGGGTTGTTCTGCCTAAAACTCTCTTCTGGCAGGTTTATTGCCGTGTCTGTTCCTCTGAACTACAACCGGAAGCATATAGACCAAAGACAAGCTATCCTTCTCGCTGCCACCTGGATACTAGCCTTAGCGGTAGCATCCCCCGTCCTTTTCGGGATCAACAACGTCCCTCACAGGGATCCCTCCGAGTGCAAGCTGGAAGATGATAATTATGTGGTGTACTCCTCCGTGTGCTCCTTCTTCATCCCGTGCCCCATCATGCTGCTGCTCTACTGCGGAATGTTCCGGGGCCTGCGACGGTGGGAGGAGACCCGCAAGGCTAAGCTACGGAGCAGTGTCCATATGTGCCGCAAGCTGCAGCAGGCCGCCCCGCTGGCCTCACTTCCTGCTCCCATGGAGAAGCTGGAGAAACTGGACCACTGTCCCCCTCCAGACTGTCCCGTCCCCCCAGAGTACAAGGAGAGTCCTGTCCTCACGGTGGCCTACCAGGGCATAATGTATGGGACGTCTTCTAGACAGAGGAGAGCCAAGATTAATGGCAGGGAACGCAAGGCCATGAAGGTTCTTCCCGTCGTCGTGGGTGAGTTGCAGCCACACGTGAGTTAGTTGCAGCAGACAGCCGAGCTGTGAACAGCTGTTTTAATCACAGCAAATGCGCTGTAAGCGTGCAATTGACATTTTTTTATAGTTGACATTTTTTTATTAGAAGATACAGGAAATTTTACACTTACAACTTATCATGAACATACGGATCACACAGTACAGTACGACACAAAGATTACAAAAGAAGCAGACAGTGACCATAATTGATTACAGAGAGCTGTTACAGATTGAGATTACGAACACATGCAAAGCATTCCCCTCATTACATCAAATTAAATGAAAAAGAGAGTATCTTATACCAGACCTCTAAATTTAACCATGGATCTTTTGTTTTCCAAAGTCTTGAATGGACCGAGTCATCCAAGACCAAGCCTGGATGGTTTTGGGTTTGGCCTTGTTAAGGCGTGCAGTTGTAAACTCAATTGAAGTGATATACTGATAAGCAGTTAACCAATATTGTGTTAGAGGTAGATTAGGGTAGAACCAAAATCTTAATACAACTTTTTTGCTGCAGTGAGTTCTGCAGAGGAGCAGTCTACGCTGAGTAGGTGTGAGCGATAGCTGTGAATCGTCATTAAGAAGGCTGAGGCAGGGGTTGGGTTGTATGTTCTTATTAAGTAGTGTGGATATTATAGAACATATCTCATGCCAGAAGCTTCTGATTGTAATGCACAACCAGAACATATGCATTGTTGTACCAAGTGCCTTATCTGGGCAATGAGTGCAATTAGGGCTTGAGAGTAGTTTCATTTTAAAACATTTTAGGGGAGTTGTATATGCAATCGACATTTTAACATTGGTAGCTTTGGAGTGTAGAGTTATCCTGCCATTTTTGAAGTTTGCCAACAGATAAGTTTGGTACCTGTACTAGAAACTGGGAGACCATTATTTTACAAGGTCACAAGTGAGTTTGTGTCCCAGCTTATACAGGTCTGTGTGTAACTCAGCAAACAGCCAAAGCGACAGGTCAGTTTGCACATCACTTCGTCACGTTGCCCCATTCAAAGCGAAGACCAAGCTTATCTTTTATTACCTTTCAAATTGCACCTTCTCCGTATTTTAAACAACAGAGAGAAAAGTGGGAACTTGAATTCATTCCAGTGTTGAAGGTATGATTTGCCTGTCAGATAAATGGATGGCACGGTTGCACAGTATTGCCCTGTGAGAGACATTTCCAAACAGTGCAGTGAGGTGAAACCGCAAGAGTGGCGTGGAAGGCCAGCGTCCGGGATCGCACATGATCCAATATTTATCATTCAGTGCCTTTATCCTGTGAGGAAAATGGAACAACTCTTCAAATCTCAAGATGTTTTCATTCAGAAAGGAATTCAGACTGTTTTAGCCTGATTCCACAAAATGGACGTGTCTGCAAAACCTTTAAGTGTAATCCATTACCAGCTTCCTTATAAGGGTAGACTAACCCCATTAATGGGCTTTGTTACGAAAAAAATAAAAGAACTGGTACCCCCCCTGAAGTGCCCCTTGCCAGAAAAAAATGGTCATTCAATAATTGATACTGAATACAGCTCATTTGAACAGTCACGTTAAAAAGAAAGTACACCCTCTTTCAATTCTAAAGTTTTATATATCAGGACATAATAAAGAATCATCTGGTCCCTAACAGGTCTTAAAATGAGATAAATACAACCTCAAATAAACAACAAAATATGACAGATTACACCATGTTATTATTTATTTAACAAAAAGCCAAAAATGGAGAAGCAGGGTGTGAAAAACTGAGTACATTCTTACTGCTTCCATAGGGATTGAGAGGGTAAGTAGCTGCCAGGGGCTGTTAATCAAATGCACTTGATTAATTGATCATCAGCAAGTGTGACCACCTCTATGGAAGCAGAAGTTTTGGCAGTTTGCTGGTCTGGAGCAGTCGGGTGTGTGTAAACACAATTCCAAGGAGGAAAGACATCAGCAGAAATCTTAAAGATGATGCTGCCCATCAATCTGTGAAGGGTTATAAGGCCATTTCTCAACAATTTGAAGTCAATCATTCTACAGCGACAAAGATTATTCACAAGTGGAAAACATTCAAGATAGTAGCCAAATCGTATGGGACAGATCCGTATGACAAAGTTACTCCCTTTGGCAGGTACTTTGGGACTCTGCAGACCGTAAACATGCACATAAAGCTATATAACACACTAAAGGACTAAATGAGAAACCAGAAATGGGGCCCCTTTAAGTGAAAGTTATCAGTTATATCAGTTATCATAATAGGGCCCCTTTAAGTGAAAGCTATCAGTTATCATATCAGTTATCATAATAGGGCCCCTTTAAGTGTAAGCTATCAGTTATCATAATAGGGCCCCATTAAGTGAAAGTTATCAGTTATCATAATAGGGCCCCATTAAGCGAAAGTTATCAGTTATCATAATAGGGCCCCTTTAAGTGAAAGCTATCAGTTATCATAATAGGGCCCCTTTAAGTGAAAGCTATCAGTTATCATAATAGGGCCCCTTTAAGTGAAAGCTATCAAAAGTGTTTAAATGTTTTTATCCATGATATTTATAGATCTAAACAAACAGAAGGAAAATTCAGCAAGCCAGGCTGTGGGGGAGACTTTGTGTCTCACAGATAGTTGGTTTAACGGAAAACAGTTATTCTTCTGTGCTGTGGGAGACGTCCCTGTACAAACAAAGCTTTTGCTGAAACATACATCTATATTCTCACCAGTTATGCTGATCAGGGTCATAGGGGAGCCTGGAACCTATCTCAGGCAGCGTAGAGTATAAGGCTGGGGCTGACCTTGGATGGAATGCCAGTACATCACAGGGCACCAGTAAGTATTTGGACTGGGTGTGGAAAGTCGTATGACATTGGGAGAACATGCAAACCTGCAGCTAAAGAGCAGAGGTAGGATGCAGAGCTCCCCCCGGAGGTGTGAGACAGCAGTGCTGCTCTATGAACCTCCATGCTCCCCTTCCACCACAATCGTCACTCATCATTATGTATCATTCCCTCTCATGAGTCTGATGATGAGGACACCAGTGTTCCTGTCAGCACTTTTCTGTAACCTCAGCAAGGCCAAATCAGCTGCTTTTAAAGCATAAACGTTTTAAAACTTCTTATTACACGGCTCTCTGGAATGCTTGATTCTGATTGGTCAGTTGAGACATTTGCAGGTTCGTTCTTTTCAAATAATAACCGCTCCAAAGTAATAACACATAGCCGGTACTACTTGTATGTTTAAAATCCCTCCGCGCCAACAAAGATTAGGCTACCGTTTAAAAATGTTAATTTAAAACAAATATGCCAATAAAATGTTTCAAATTCATATTCATGTCCAGTTTTTTTCCTTATGTGGCAAGTAGCCGTGTAATAAGCGGGATAATGTACAGGCAGCCGGTAGTTATCGTGAAATAAGCCCCTTCAGTGTGATACAAGACGCTCCGCTTCGCGTCGGGTCCTGATCACACTGTCGGGGCTTATTTCTGCGATAACTACCGGCTGCCTGTACATTATCCCTTACATATATCAGTTTCAAACAAGGACCCAGAACTGGCTGAAATATCAGCTATTCTGTATCTCAATCTGTCAAGTAGGTATTTATAGATACCCCATTAAAAGTTCTAAATTATTCACTAAGGCATGGTCATTGTAAGAGAAGGTTATACATTTACTCTACATTCATCTATGATTGTGGTCCATTTTGTGTGTTTCGTTTTCCATCTGTATGTGTCTAGAGATTAGAAACACTGTAAGATACAATTCACAATCATAAAATTGTTTGGATTAATACTACATAACTAATTTGCCATGTAATTAAGGGTAGCTGAGCAGAGCACTGTTATCAAATACTTCTATCATAGCTGCTAATTCATGCTGAACTCAAGCTTCTTCTGGAACCTTCTAGTCACCGGTCTTTCCCTCTCTGGTTTTAGGTGTATTCCTCTTCTGTTGGACTCCATTTTTCGTGGTCCACACCATGCGTGTCATCTGTGAGTCCTGTTACATCTCGCCCTATCTGATGAGCACCGTCACCTGGTTGGGCTACGTCAATAGTGCCCTCAACCCTATCATCTACACTGTGTTCAATACCGAGTTCAGAAAATTATTCCACAGATTTCTGCACAGTTGTTGCTAACCTCTGTATCGAAATCATCTTGCATGACAAAATGGCCTTAACCACGGTTGCTTATGGATACATGTACATCCATCATGTCAGCAATCTTTATTAATTTAGTTAATTTTGTGTATTTTCTTTTTCAGTTTAATTTAGGTAATTTACCTGCAAAAGACAAATGTCTGGCTACTTTTAGCAGCTACCTGTCTCTGGAATTTGTTCCTGTTTTTTCTTCTGAAAAAGACAGAGTTTAAAATGTATTACCAGCACTGCTGGAAATTTAAAGACCGTAAAGGTAATTAATCATGATGTATTATTATGTCTTTCTAGATCTCTTTGCAGATAGTCTGGCTTGCAAGCTTGACAAAAACCAGAAACAAGAATATCTTAACATTTAGGAGTTTGTGTGTCAGTTAAAGTCTCCTAAATCTTGGATGTGCACCACTGCAGTCTGGTCAGTTTCCTTTAAAAAAATGATTGTCAAATCAGAATGATCCCTGGCATTTGTTAGCTTAGTCAAAAGAAAAAGGTTGTATAGAATTCAGCCAACTGCTGCTTAAGGACCAGAGTGTAAATAATTAATTAATCATGTTTGTTGTGTAGATAAAATTTTTATACATCACAGTGTAAGGAATCAGATATTGGCTTAGACTTAGAGCATCTTATGCCGATACAAGACTTACACAAGAAAACATCAACCAACCAGCTCATACATTGAATGACCTGCTAGTCTTGTTCAGATGAATATACTGTATTTTACCATTATAATGGCAGTAATCTGAGTAATGGCATTGCTAGAGTACTGATCCCAGCAAGGTGCTAATACTGCATTCCTGGGTGAGTGAATATAACTTTGCTGTGACGTTGCTTCCTTTATTAGATCTGCAAATAATGCACATGTACTATTTTTGTCTGCACAGATGTTATTGGAAATTGGTATATTTTATACTTTGCTTTTATACTTACATGTCTTTGCTGCAAGAAATGTGTAGGGAACTTTGAGGAGTCCTTAGCGGTTGGAAATAATGCTACAAGACAAAGGAAAATGGAATGATTCTGTCCTGATGCTGGTACCAAAGCGAGCACCAGTGAGGTCTCACAAGTAGTAGCCTTTAAAAACCTTCTTGGATGCACAAACTGTTACAAAATGTTCATCTATAAGCAATCTGTGATCATTTATTGTACCATTTAGAGCGTTGTGTAATATGACAAACATGAAATGTTACAAAAAGTAAGAAGGGGGGAAAAAATTAAATTCGTAAATATTTAAAGTGCTAGTTTCATGTGTTATTTTGAATTCCATAATTAAAGGGGGCCTGAAGTCTCTCCCGGGCAGCACAGGGCACAAAGCTGGGGTACATCCTGAAAGAGATGCCAATCCATTACAGGGCACAAAGCTGGGGTACATCCTGAAAGAGATGCCAGTCCATTACAGGGCACAAAGCTGGGGTACATCCTGAAAGAGATGCCAGTCCATTACAGGGCACGCACACACACATGCGCGCACACAGGTTTGTAATTATATCTTTGTGGGGACTCTCCATTCATTTCTTTTGGGAAAACTCTAACCAGACCTAAGTTTAATAATAAGGAACCAAAAAAAGATTTTCCCTTTTTTTATTGCTTTCACAGATTTTTATGAAATTATTTAAAATTTATATTAATGTATATTAAATCAGTAAAAAATAGTCCATTGGGGACTGAATAAATGTCCCCATAACGTTAAAATTACAGGTTTTTATCACATTTGGTCCCCACAATGCAATATATATCTGCCCCCCACCCAACACACACAATGGACAATTTAGGGATGGCATATATGCTGAAAACAGGTATTTGGACTGTGTGAGGAGACCCGAGTACCTGCTTACCAGGACATGGAAACCCCAGAAACAGCAGATGTGAGCCTGGAGATGTGAGGCGGTAATACTACTCTATGAGGTACCCTGATAATGAGCATTTTAAAAAATTTGTTTCAAATATCCCTTGATGGAAGAGTAATCAAAATGAGGGGGTTAAAATATCAATTCTCCTATCAGACCTCACTATTCTACATTACAGGTATGAGCAATTGCATTGTGGGGATTTACATGTTGTGAAATACAGAAGTACTGTAACTATATTAAAGAAAGTCTGACATCTTTTAATTTAAGATTAAATGGTTTGGCCTCATGTACCTTAGAGAATATGCAGGATAAAACCCTACTTTAACATGTCTTCTGTTGGAAAGCCAGCAATATTTCAATAATAGTTTATTCAAATGTAATTAAAGTGCCATTTACTCTGTAAATTCAGTGAGATCATAATAAGAATCTCACTGGACTTTCTGACACTTAAAGTATCATAAGGAAGGTTTATCAGTGGTATTATACAGTGTATGAGTTTAGAAAATCATCAGGCTTATACATCTTCAGTTAGAATATCATCAGGCTAAAATCACTACAGTTATTACCTGGTCAAACCCAGAGGATGATTAAAACATTTGTGAGACACTCATTGCTAAACTGCCTTTGACGGCAATAAGCTGTCCTGCCAATTGCTCATGTCCTCCAAGTAACTCCACAGCTGAAGAGCCACATCTACAAATGCATTATTTCCTGATCAGATTAGACTGCCTGTCATTTCCCCTTGTATTTTCCCCATCAAAGCACCATGATAGAAATTGGACATTCACTTCATTTACTCTCACCGCAAGGATGCCATGGATGAGTCATATGCGCATAGATACCAGTGGTATCTCAAGAGCACTGGCTTTTAGAAAAGAACATGGATAGAATAGCTAAGCAATGATGTTTGGAGCTGCTCTTAAGTGGCGTAGTATTTTCTTTGTGATTTAATTCATTAATTTTCCCTGCCTCTTATCTAGTACAGGGTCAAAGGCTTCTAATAGAACCTGAGCAGTGACCTTAAAGATAAATGTCAACTTAGGATACAATTATTAGAGTAAGGACAAGGACAACATGTGGTGTAACAACACACCAGTTTGATTATTACACAAGCCCTGTAATGGCACATTCCGGAAGTATATTAGAATGCTGTGAAGATGTGGAGGTCAACAGGGGGTCACATGCAGAAAAGCCCTTATGGCAGGGTAAGAATGCAAAGATGGCAACACAATATGAATCAGGATCTGAACAGCATCTGCTCAGCCATCAGCCGCTAGGAGCTCCAGGCATTAAATAATCATAAGCACATCATTATTCTACTCTATTTACAGATGATGGATGGCCTAAACTGTAGCTTTTTCTCCATAACAATATCTGCTCTCACTCAAGTCTCGTGAGAAAAAAAAGCTTTCATGACATCACCTTAAATCTAACAGCATGTGACTTTGCTGAGACTCAGTGATATATAAAACTCAGTGGCTTCTGTGTGAGGTGACTACAAAATGCTGTATCTGTATCTCTCACAAGCTGACTACATCAGGTCCCCAGGTGATTGAAATGAAAAATAATTTACATGGGGGCAGCTGTCGAATTGTCTTGCCAACCTTTCATTATGAGGATGTCTACAGGTCCCCATCTGTTCTTGGTAATATCAATAAATATTTTCCTCTGGAAGGGCTGAAAATACCTAGATAAATATGACCATGATATGAAAGTGATGGACACCGGGACAGACACTTCAGAAAGATCAGTGTCAGTGATCAGAGAGATGACAGAATTTATTCATTATGTCAACCATGTTTTTATTGAACCAAACAGGAAAGGTTACCTAAAATTAACAACAGTATATAACCTATTACACTATGACACAAGCTGGTGCTCATGATGACAGTAACCCCAGAACTGCTGGTGACACCAGTGCTGAGGGAAGCCATCTGGGATTTACGGGGATCTCCTGAGAGGGCAGGAAGATTCCAAGACGCCGGGAAACTCTGCCTCACATCTCCAGCCTGTTGGCTTGGATGCCAGTTACGCTTTGTGTCTATGACGTTTACACATTCCACCATGAAGAGCTCCTTCAGCTACTCTGGTCTCCTCCAGCAACCCAAAGACATGCAGTTAGGCTCCCTGGCATCTGTGAATTGCCCATGGTGTGTGTTTCCTGTGCTAGATTGGCATCCTACTCATGGTGTAGCCTGTCATGTGGGCTGTGCTGCCCCTCCCCCCAGCAAAACCAACTAACGGTCAGTCACATCAAACCATACATGCTACATGAAACTTTAGTGTTAACTCCCCACTTACACAATATTTTCATACATTTATATAAATGTGTGTGAAAACCATATAAGCAGTCACAACCAGCCAGGCACATGTGCAGTGGATGTTACAGATCGTCTCTGGCTGCCTCAGCTGTCAGCTTCAGCATTCGCTTCACACTTGACTTCGCTCAATGCAGTGATCCATTTTCAGGATTTTTCCAGGTTGCCCATTGGGCAGCCTGCTGGGTAAGCAGAGGTCCCCTGCTCAGAAATAACATTGCCCTGAAGAGAAGGCTACAAATTCTTCAGGACTGATTTTGAACTCATTCGAGGTAACACCAGTTTGTGCAGTGGTAGTATAATGCTCATCTAATTAGCTTAGTGTGCTTTTTTTATATAATTGCAGTATTATTATTGTTGTTGTATTTTAAATGTGATTCTAATGTATATTATTTAAATGTGCTCTTCTGCCTTTGTAAAGCACTTTGCATCTGAAATGTGCCATATAAATACACTTACCTTGCTACCGTAGACCCCACCTGTTTTAAAACAATCCGCATGTATTTTATTGGCTATATATACCGTTCACAGAGTTTGACACATAACATGCAAAATGACTGAATCTTCATGGGTCTTGATTGGAAAGAATAACAAAAAAGCCAAAATAACATTTTAACATTTTTTATGTAAGATTTGTGTAATATATACTGTATATATGTTAAAGTATAAAAATATGCCAATGCATGCTTTATGCATTTATAACGCACACTGCATAAAACAAAAAAAAAAAAATCCAATGTATTTAATGAAAATAAATTCCGTGTAAAAGTGGCCCCCACTGTCGAAATAGGTGTTGTTCAAGAGTCGACTATTTTATATAAAGTATGGACATCACAATGCCATACAGTAACATGCATTTATGCATAGAGACCAGATACACCGTGTTTATTGTCTGTAGCGAAACGGTAATTTACAGCATTCAACATGGCTAATTCTGGCCGAATTACAGAGAGTTGCCACCAGTCCCGTATAACACAGCACAGATCTTTCCAATAAGGGAAGATCCCGTGTTATTAGGGATGGATGGCAGCCTTAATAATAAAAGCAAGAAATTGTACTAAATGAAGAACTGTTTGGCAGCCAAAAGACCTGGCTCTTATTGGTACATGATTGGGTCACTAAAAAAAAGCCGCAATTCCCATCCCTACCGCACAAGCTGATACCGACACAAATGGATTATCCGAAATACTACATCGCAGTTGTGCATAAAACACGTGATAGGTACTTAAGACATCTGATGTGCTAATTCTGAGGGTTTTCAACCCAATGGCATTCCATTATGCCCAGTCAACATACACGTGAATGTACTTAAGCGTATTCAGCGGCGAGGTAGACAAAGCATGTATGGTTAGCTGTACAGATTTTATGTTTTATTCCACAGTTATTGGTCAAGTGCTCATATATTTACAGGTAGAAGAAAAATCCTTCGTACTTTTTAGCGAAAATGGAACAAAGGTACAAACCCATCAAATAATCTGTAAATAAAAGCTGTAATAAATTAGGCTCTAGGCTACTCACAATGATTGTATTTTAATCCTAAAGTGAACCAAAACCCCACCATCAGCTAAAATTAACCTAGGATGAAAGCACACAGATGGTGGTTTTATAGTTTAATACAACAAACTGTCTTACTGTACCATTAGTAGTGAACATGGATCTCACAAGAGCTGGTTTGGCATGAGTGACAGTTAAAGGAAAGAATCAAAATTATTTAACAAAAAACCACAACATGGAAAATTGATGCTAAACATAATGCTTTCCGCTTCCCGCATTTTCCCATAACCTTAATGGCCACAATCAAATAAATAGTCACAAGGCCTTGTGCAAAAAGAGTAGGAGTGAAAAGTGAAATATTTTACTCTCCAGAAACTGAGGACAAGAACAGAGACAGAGCACAAGCCTGCCTCTGATCCCTCCTTCATGCTACATGACCTTCCAATTTTGAAGCACAGACAATTCCAACATCTGTAGTTTGTAGGAAATGAAAAGAAATAAACGAAAGCAAATTGGTCCTATATATCAAATATCAGAAACATTCTGCAGATTCAGGTATATATTTAAATAGCCGAAATCCCTAAATTCTGAAATGCAATATGATTTAAAATGGTCATATATATACAGTGTCTGGGACTTATAAAAATATAGATATATTACAATAATCTATACAGAATCATGTTATTCATTCCCACATTAAACACCCTAACTGATCTGCACCAGCCTCTATCCTCCCTGTTCTCTCCTGCTGACTGCATATTAAAATACCACAACCAGGTTTTGATGGACAAGCACCCCCTCCGGACTGCTGGTGATTTAACATGCATTCCACTGGCAAGACGCTTCAATAAGCACAATTAAAGGGGGCACTTCACACCAGCTGGACTCAACCCTTTCCTACTATGCAAGTCAGAGTTCAGCGGCCTGAGAAGAAGCCAAGTCCTTCTCAGCATTCAGCATGAATTTCTCCGAACTCAGTAAAAAAAAAAAAAAAAAAAAAAAACTGAAATCCTCAGTGAACTAAAATCTTCTTATTCACACTGGGCATTGTTCCTGAGGGTCGAATGCAATTTCGAGGGCACTTCTCATATCATCTAGAAATTAAATAGCCATGTGTATGCAATGGAATGAAGCACAGTTCTTTCCTGTTTTCCTTTGTTTAAGTCTGGGACCTCATGACCAGGTAGTAAAGCAGGAAGAAGACCAGCACCAGTCCCACAGAAACATAACAGAGGATCTTGCGGTTGTCCCTGCCAGATCGAACCATAGTGGAGAACCTCTTCACACTTCCTGTCAGGAGCCCAGTAGCACTCAGGAAGTTGGAGTCCTTTCAAGAAAAAGGAAGGAAAGCCCGTCTTAAACTGATTAGTGTGGAATCCAATTGCAATCAGAGCGGTCACCATTACTCAATTATTAAAAAGCATGGATTATAATTTTCCTTCTCGATCATTCAGCAATATGGTGGAAGGGAGACAAATGAAAATAAAGAGCAAAAACCATCAGTTGTTTGGAAACACTTCACATTAAATGTGAGTGAATGTGCAGTCATCTGTCAGTATTGCAGAGCATAACTTATGATACATATATATTCACGTCACTACAGCATGACTGCAATGCAAATACTTGTTAAAGAACACATTCAGGTTTGATGGACTCAGTAATGTGAAGTTAGCCACAAATAAGTGTCATTTAGTCTCTCGGAGCAGCCTAGCCTGTCTTCATCATCACTTTGACTTTAAATCATTTTGCTAAATTTACTTTCTACGATTTGTCTATATCAGAATAATCACTGCTAAAACAAAGGTTAGCCATGTAGCTTAGCCGAATTGTCTTACATAATACGATGCACATAAGAAATATAATATTAATAATTTTTTGTGAACATACTGTGTGTTTTGAACAGGGCTGAATGATATTTCAAGTTTCTGCGATATAAGAGTTGAAAATCAACTATACATCCATACAAAACTTATCTACCAATAAAGTCTGTCAAATAAGTTGGTGGTATTGCCATTAGTTGTGCCAAACAGATACAAAGCAGTGCAGACAAATCGCTTGCCTTTGTTCAATGTCATCTCTATGAAATACAAAATATTTCCATACAGCGGAATGGTCTTTTTTGTGACCATTTCTAGTTCACTTTTCTCCTCTTCACTCATTTTTGTTTAATTTCTCACAAACGGGTGAAACGGTCTATGAGTGAATCAAACAGCAAGGACGATGATGATTAGGATCGTCCTGGAGAGCTCATGCAAAAGTGGTCAACTTTAGACCTTTTTAAAAACATATACTAGATAATATTGAACACCATCATTAAAATTGCAAATCTTTTTGTTTCATATGACTGACCCAAAATGTTTTAGTGAAACTTATTCATGGTTAGAACCCAGCAGACTATCATGGTCCTTGCGATGTGAAATCAACGTGGCATTTCATGCGCATGCAGTTATTAACAATGCACACTGTGCAAGTCAAGTACCAAGGATGGTACGTCGTGTGTGGGGCTATGGCATGTCCCCCCCCCCATGTGAGCGTGGCTTTCCTTCCACTGTCCAGAAACATGAAACTTAATGAACTGTAGTGCCTAAACTGACCATAAGTGTGACCCTGTAATGGTTTGTTGGTTCCTGCTTCATGCCAAATGCAATATATTACGTATATTAAGTTATACTATATTATACTGAAACAATTACTTGATGAATCGTCAGATTAATCGGTTGATTATTGGATTATTGATATAATCAACAGCGACAGCCCTAATTGTAATCAAACAGAACTCACAAATCAATCATACAATAGATACTAATTGGAAGATATACCATTGATCCTCATTGCCTTAACTTACCATGCCATCCAAATATGAATTCTGCTCTTCTGCTTCTTTGTCAATATCATATGCTAGCTAAATGAGAAAAAGAAAGGAAACGTATATACATATACATATATATACATATATATATACATACACATACATATATATACATATATATATACATACACATACATATATATATATATATGCATTTTAGGTGACAGCACCGGGACAGATTATACATTCAAAATATCTGTTCAAAAGTACAGGTTATGGGACTATTACTATTAAAGATAAACTCGGAAGTATCTAAAATTAAATGTGTCGTACGGATTTCAGTCTGGAGACTTTTGAAGACAGGTTCTCCGCCAAAAGCTTGTTTTCTGCGTCCATCATATCATCCACGGCGCCATGACCTGGTAACGTACCGGAGGGATTACTGGATTATCGTGATTTTCCAAGATGACAACGGCACGAAAGAGGTTATTTTCATGCATTTATCAATAATTTATCAAACACCCATTAACGACGACACAAGACTAGCGCGGCAGCTCCGCTTTTCTAAAATATATCTTTACCGTGAATCCGCATAGTAAAATACACGAATTACCAACACATCCAGGACACATTCACATATATTAAGAAAAACTATCCCGATTTCTACTTTTTATCAAGCAAGCTAATAACACAATGAGAACCACTTGCGAACACCTCAACACAATCCAGATTCATATAAACATGTATTCTTTGATGATATTGTGTTTGACATTTAAAAACATACAGGTAAAAGTAATAACAGACATTATAAAGTGGACTACGTGGCGCTGAATACCTCTATTCCAGTCAGCCATGTTTTTGTTGACGTGCAGTTTTTTTCCTCCTTCGTTTATACTACAACACATAAACCCAAACGCTCACACTGCCCCCTGGTGTTCCGGAGACTGAATCATCCATCCATCCCTGTGTTGGGTTGGCGCCCTATCCTGGGTTAATTCCCTGACTTGCCACCTCGGCTTCTGTAACACACTCCGGACCCTCACGACCCTGCACAGGACAAGCGTATTGATCCATCCATTCGTCGCGGGTGTCTTACAACATATAATAATAATAGTAATAATAATAATTATTATTATTCAACATATAAAAAATGCCCTTTTAAATGCATTGTCTAAGACACTACATAAGTATTTAGCAGCAAATTATGTTTTTTTAATATCTCTCAACAAATTACTGTAGCTGCTACCCTCTCCCAGTTTATAATTACAATATGTTTTGATCCATCCATCCATCAGTGTCATTAGGCCTATTTCAGCCCCCTAAAATGTTTTCTAGCCCCCACAAATAAATGTGGATTTTATTGGCTTAAGTTATGAATAGTTATGTTTGCCATCACCCCCAGTAAAAACTAAGCCCCATATCCATTCACCTCTAACTACACCCCTACAACCATTCATTTTCTATACTTGCCTGTCCTACACATTTCCATACACAGTATATGATAGGGTGAAGTGGTGCCTCTGAGGCTAGGGATCTGTGCTAGTAACTAGAAGGTTGCTGGTTCAAATCCCATGGATGCCCAAAGTAATTCTACTCCATTGGGCCCTTGAGCAAAGCCCTTCACCTGCAATTGCTTCATCCTGGGTATGATGTTAATCTACATCCAGTCCTATAAGGAGGTCCTCCAACTTACCGGGAATAACTTGGGGGTTGGTGGCAGGATTGGCACTGGTCTATTGGTGCTGAGGTAACACCACAAGCCTGCCCTCAGGTTCTCACCCATGTGATGGGTGTGGCAACACGCTATATTGGTGCATGGTCCTCACCTATATGATAGCACATGATTAGATTCTGTCCATTTCCATATCTAGTGTTTGACAAACTTAATTTGGCACATCATACAAAACATCTATTGTGATCAGGTCATTTAGTTCTTCTGTACATAGATCCTGTACGACCTGCCCACACCAACCCTAATGAATTGTCAATGAACATACAAAGGGCCTGAACGTATAGCTCCTGTTGTCAATCTACCTTGGAAGTGCATTAATACCCCAGTCATTTCATGAAAAAAATAGATCTAAACACATGTTGTGTGTGTTTTACTTTTGATTTAGGTACAGAAAGTAAGCTATACTTTCAGCACATTATTACTTACGTCCATCTGCCTGTTTGTCTACCTATCGCCTAGGCTATCACGTTTTTTCCTCAAGCCATTTCACCCATTTCCCATGCAACTCAAAGTGACGACATCATGGCTTGTCCAGGGACAGGGGTGGGGAACCTGATCCATGGGGGGCCGGTGTGGGTGTTGGTTTTTGGGATGAACATTAAGAGTGGGTTCCTAGGACTGGAGTTGAGAATCACTGCTTTATTACTGGCTGATTGAGAGGTCATTCCAAAAACCCGCACCCATACCGGCCCTCCATGGATCAGGTTCCCCACTTCTGTCCTAGGATGTGAACCATCAACCTTGAGATTACAAATCTTGACCTCAACCAGCCTCTGTAGCAGCTAGTATGTGAATAAGGTACATAAATTGCAAAACACCTACTATGCTTCAATCCTACATTTCAAATTTTCCAGAGATAAAAAATAACATAACATGCAACATACTACAGACAGTACAGAAACTGGAAATAACACAATAATATTTCATTCTTTTTTTCTTTATAACATCCATTATAAAATATAAAGACATTATTTACTTTATCAGGTTTTGCCTTCAAGTGTCATTTGCATGTTTGCAAATAAAAACAAGATTCCTATATCAGTCTGAACTAATTGCCAGTGTGTCCTGCAGGATTATTAAACATTTAACATAGCTTCTAAATCCTTTAAGAGGTCAATCAATAAAAGATACAGATTAAAAACAGACCCTCAAGAAATCATACGGCCTCATTATATAAGAGTAATCTATAATTTACTTTTAACATACAAAATTCAGTTTAAGTTACAGTGGCCTCCTCAACAAATTAATTGATTCAAATTAACTATTACAACACACAGTGGCACAAATCAGAAAGTTAGATAATATTACCAGTACTGAGAAATATGCGATGGCAGAATATTGTGCAGTGACTTAGCCAAGAAAAACTCAACAATGGACAAGATAACCCACTGTTACAATTGTCAAAGAACAAGAGACAATATTCAGGATATTGCATATATTTTTTCTGCAGCGACCACTAGTCTAGTACAAATATCCATCTATCCATCCATTCATCCACCCATCCATCCTTTAACCTTTTATCCTGGTTAAGCTGACAAGGAGCCAGTTCCTAGCAGTACAGAACACAAGGCCAGTACCACAAATATTTTTAAAACAAGAAACAGAGGGATAAGGTTGTATGACATTCCCCTCTTTAAAAATCTGGTTTACACCATTGTTATACAAAGGGATTGACATAACTGGTACGCAAGTAGGCATTCATCTTTAAAAGTGACACGTGCGGCAATTGATTAATGCAGCAGCACAAATATGTACATATTTTATGTGCGCTTTTATCTCTACCGCAGATGAAGTACAAATTAGCATATAAAGGTTAAAAAGCACAATAGTTTCTTGTCATTTCGGTGCAAATGCACATAAAATGTGTATGCATTCATGCTGTTACAACAATCAATTACTGCACAAATTGCTTTTAAAGGTGAATGTGTACTTCTGTACGAGTTATGTCCATCCCTGGTTATACACATTGATAAAATCACAAGTTAATGTCTCTCACTACTGTGCTTATAAACCTCAATGGTATATTTAAATGAACGCTTCTTTCCTAAGCATTCTCTTCTTCACTCTCCGAATTCTGCTGTTCTCCCTCTACTGTCATTCTCTGTAAATCATTGGTCGCCAGTGATGTCATTTTCCCATCTGGTCCTATCTTCATTGGCTGGATCACATGGTCCCTGGAAGCAGACACATTTGACATCAATTACATAACATAACATAACAATATATCACTCTGCTGGTTTCATTAGCGAATTATATAAAATGAGAGAATGGTATGAAAGTACCATTCCTGTTCCTGTGGCCCTTTATGGACGATGCCTCATCTGCTACAAAATGCTTTCTTACCTGGACAGCTTATCGAACATGTTAACCAGTTTCATGGCCTCAAATTCCTTCTGCTCCTCTGTCATTCCATCCATGGGGTTGGGCTGGTTGTCCTCCACACGTCCCGTTACTGGGTTAATACTGACAGAGAACAACACTGTGAGCAAACGCAGGAGACACTGAGCGCACATTGCAGGGGGCCCCCAGACTCAAACCAAGAACCTCTGTCTGACACCGTGATTTATGTGGTCTTTGTCATCCTCCCTTCCATCAACCCGCCTGTCCTATGCAGGGTTGGTGGGGGGATGTTGTTTCAGTGGGTAGCTCTCTGGCTTTGAACACTGCTTCTGTTCTGTGATTGTGCAGTCGGCATGTTCTCTCTCTGGTGTGTCAGTCTCTTCTGGGTACAGCGGTTACCTTCACAGACTTGCATTTAAGCTAACTGGTGTCTGTAAACAGCTCAGGGTTATGTGTGTGTCTACCTGCCCTACAAAAGCCTGGGATCCCAGCCCTGGTGTTCCCCAGCCCTGGTGTTCCCCAGCCCTGGTGTTCCCCAGCCCCGGTGTTCCCCAGCCCCGGTGCACTGCCCTGCCTGGGATAGACTCCAAACCTCCCCCCACGATACACGATTAGTCTTTAGTAAAACACAGATACAAGTATTTGCCAATGGCCCTGATGGCATGTGTTCACACAAACTCACTGAGGTTTGGCCTCCCTGTACTCCTCCGTGTCACTGTCCTCGTCCTCGGAGTAGTGGCCCGGGTCCCTGGCTCCCTGCATCAGGCCGCGTGCAGCCAGCAGGCCGGCCGCGTTCCCATACCCCGTGTACTTGATGAATCGGGACACTGCAGAGATTAATGACAGTCACGTCGTGCGTCTGCGCATGTCTGCGCGCGTCTGCGCATGTCTGCGCGCGTCTGCGCATCCAGGGCCACGGAGGCCTGCTCACCACTCTCCTTGCAGAGCACATAAAGGAGCTCCGCGGAGCAATGCTTCACATCCGTGTCGATGTGGGTCATCAGGCGCACCAGCTTGTTCCGCAAGGTGTTCCCCACCTCGGGTCGGTTCTTCACATCACGCAGAGGGGGCAGGATCTGCACTTATACAAACCAAACACACACCACGTGTACACAGGCACATAGACACACACACACAGGTTTGTAATGATATCTTTGTGGGGACTCTCCATTTATTTCTATGGGGGGAAAACTCTAATCCCAAAAATGACAACCTTAACCCCACCCAGCCCCATTTTTAGTTTTTTGATTGCAGTCACACCAGAAAAGTGGTCCCCACAACGTCAAAATAAGTTTTTATCACATTGTGGGATCATTTGTTCTCCACAATATAATACATACATAACACACACATAACACAGTCCCACCCTGGTCCGCAGGAACTTCCTGGTCTCCCTGTGCACGCGGGCACTCTCCGTCAGCAGGTTCAGGCAGGGCAACAGAGTCTCCTTTACCTTGGTCCCCTATAGGATAGAATAAAGGTGCCAGCGCTGCTCAATGAGACCCCAATGATATCTAAAGGTACCTGGGATTCCTGCACAGGAATATGGACAATGGCTGCCCAAAAGTCCCATATGTCCAGTTAAGAAGGCTTGTTTGTTTTAAGTGACCCTATAATAGAGCACCTACAGATTTTGAATTTCAGGTTATGTGCAGGGATTTAATTCTTAATTTTTAAACATAAGAAAACAGTAATTCATTTTAAAAAACATTTTAAAAGTGCACAAATGCACAAAAAGTTTCACACACTACATATATTCAAAACATATGCAGAACAAAACCATACAATAAACTAGACGCTTAACAAGTACGCGTGACTGCAGCAGGAACCCCTTAACCTCCTGACCCAACGGCTCACCTTGTCTAATCTCCTCTCCATGAACTGCAGTAACATGTTCACCGAGTCCATGTTGACGCCCAGGTACTCGATGGAGCCCTGCTTCACCTTGGGAAGGAGCAGCACGTCCAGGCACATCAAAGGCAGGTTCCCCAGCAGATTCACCGTGTGGCTATGGCAAACACACACGGCAAACACAAAGCCTGAGGACTCACGGGCTCGCTAAGCCCCGGGTAGCCTGAGCGCGTGCTGCTGGCCGACTCCTGACCTGTGGAACTCCTCTGTACGGTCCTCTCCATGAGCCACGCTCATCAAACACGGCCTCAGGACAGCCACCAAGTGCCTATAAACCGCCGCATCCTCCTTTGGCATCCGAAACGATAACAAAAAACAGACCGGAAAGGGGCCATGACTCCATTCCCACCACGCTGCACACTGGCTGTTTCTCAATATAGGTACTTTACTGTACTTAGGTTTTTGTGTTCCCATTTTACGTCATCTTACATTGCCGAAGACCAGTTCCAATGGTCAAGAACAGAAGTACAGAGGACCATAAAAATCCCCAGATGTCGTTCTTGCCCCAAATATAATTGGAAACATCGGTTGCATCCTCAGCAAACGAGAGCAATCCCATGAATCACTGCGCCCCAAGTTCGTTCTTGGGAGGTAAGTTAGCAAGACCGGTCTTGCCAAAACCACAAGTACAATCTTACTGAGAAATGCCCAGTGTGTGTGCTTTTGGACACAGAAGCTTCTCTCCCATCATCTCACCTCATCCACCTTACGGCGACTGGTGTCAAGCGTGATGTTGAAGAGGATTTTGAGGATCTCCATGGCACACTCCGTCTCCTCGCGGCTAAGGGGAGGCGGGCCAGCGGCACCCGCATCTCCATCGGGCCGCACCACCTCGAAGGTGCCCAGCCAGCGCAGGCCCAGGGTGGCGTCCAGCACGCTGGAGAGGAGGCTGACGCCCCGCAGCTCCTGGGCGAGCTGGGCGCGGACGTCCACGCACAGCGCGGTGAGCAGGAAGGTGAGGCGCAAGTCAAAGAAGCGCACCGTGGGGCTCCACTCCCGCCCGCGGCACTGCTTGAGCCGATCGGCCAGGCCGGCCACCAGCCGGAGGTGAGCGGCCGCCTCCCGGGCTTCCTCGCTGGTGAACACCACGTTGCATAGGCACTTGAGGGCCTCCACATTAACATCCGGGTCGGGCGTCTCCGGCGTGGTGCCATCAGCATCGCATGCCAGCCCCGCGTACCGGCTCAGCGTCCACACGGCCTTCCGTGTACAGAAAGGGCCAAGGCTGCCCTTATCTCGTGACAGGATGCGGATGGTCTCCAGGCAGGCTAGCTGGCAAGACGGCTGCAGCTCTCTGTTCAGGAATCCCATCGCCAGCTCGCCCAGCCGCTGAAGGGACAAGCGAAGGCTTTGCACCAAAATGACACTGCGTCCCGGGCTGTCCTACAACGGACTGCAGACGGGGGACACTTTGCATTTTCACAAGGTTTTCACAAGACCTCTCTCTGGGCCATGGGTTTTTAACTAGGGCTCTACAGAAGTCTTTTGTAAGACTTGACTCTGTTCCCCATCCCCTGGTCTGTTCATATTAAAATCACAAAAATCAGTTCATACCTCCCTCTCCTCTTGCTCCTTCATGTTAAAGGTGAAACACTGCCCTTTCTATAAACAAAGAACAGAACCGTCAAAGTAATGCGTTATTATTAAGCCACTTAATTAGTTTCAATATCTATTAATGGGTAGTTCACTCAGTCAGATAAAAGCAGGAGTTTTACATTGTTGGTGTTGTATTGACTGGGCCATTTTTGAAAAATCATAGCTATTGGTGCTGAGTGGAGAGAATACAAGATTAAAAATATTTGACTACAGAGGAATAGAAGCCCTCATCACACGTAATTAGAGGGAGTAGCGCTTAAAATTCTAAAGTTTGACGCTCATAACAGCGCCCCCATCTGTCAGATACACGCGGTGCAAACGGCCTCTATAGAAATCTACTCCTTTTACAAAAACTACGCAATCCGTGAGGAAGCAAAACACCGACGCTAAACATTTTAATACTGCTAACCGCAGAAGCGCTGCAACCACCTATGAAAAGGACAAAAGTATTGCTGCAATATGTACTAGGAGGAACGCACCTTACACTCCGGAATTTATTACAAAAAACACATACATAAATATTAACGGCGAGGACTGTAAACTAGCTTACTTATAAATGGTTGTGGTTTATAGTGATGGTATCTGATACCCAGCAGGGGTCTCGCGATAATAAATACATCCTATGCGGATTTATCATTTACTATCCATATACAAAATCATGCTTCCCACGGAGCCGCTGAGAATCTCGAAATATTACGGACCAAAATTTGCAGAGCCATATTACTGCTTTCTTATTCCACGGTATCAGTATAATTGTATCTATATTTCACTGCTAGTTTACTCTTTTACCACGCAGTACATAACGACTGATTTAACAAAATCCATTACAAACTTACCTCTTTATTAAATGACTGTAGTGCCATCAAGGCGGCATCTTGATCGCCAATTTCCATCTTTTCTATAATGATATATAGATCCATTTTTCTAACGCAGGAAGATGGCTCTATTGCCAACTAGAGTGCCAAGAAGAAACTAAACCGTACAATACAATATAACTGTAGGTACCGTTTTGACTCTTCGCTTGCACACCCTGAAGCTGACGCGAGCATGCAGGAGAGGATCTTGGGAGATGCAGTTTTAAGTATTGGACACTTCGGCCCAGAACAATTTCCCGCATGGCGTTATGCAGAATTAAATCGTTAAATAACTTCTTGGTACGAGACAGAAGACGAATGACAAGCAACATGACGCAGAACAGCATCATTAATTTCCGATAAGGTTATTAATATGAATACCCCTCTCCCCAAAAAATGAACACAACTAAAGGGGACAAATACCACTGGTAACACCTAATTATACTGTATACTGCAATCCCTAACCCATAACACAGAATAATTTTCAGGTACGAACTACTCTTCTAGCACAAATAATTCATAACAATTACTCTGTTCCTCTAGAAGGAATCAGAAGTACTATATTTGTTCATTAAATCATCCATTTACATAACTAAGGGGCATGTGTGAGGGCTTGGAAAACTAAAACGGGCAGTATGAAGAAGGGATAAGGGGTCACGTGTGGATACAGTTGGTATTGAACAGTTTGCCATTGGAAATCATTGAAGCAAGCAGCAGCAAAAAAAAAAAAAAAAAAAAAGGGCATCCCTATAATTTATAAGGCCTCAAAAATTCAGCTGGTATAATATGTACATATCACACATTTTTTGAAGCTTAAAGAAAAACAGCATGGAGAAGAACAACTGATAATACTGATAATATTCAATAAGAGCTCAAGCTCATTAGCTACATGTGTCAGGTAACCACTGCCTGAAATTCATCACCTTCCATGGCTCTTTTAGTAACATTAAATCAATGGCTATTCAAAAAGTTAACAATACTATCTTGATCACGTTTTATGAAAACCATGAAAAAAAAAAACCCACTTTAAATGAATACAATAAATTTCCCTAATAAATCTGTTTAATATAAAGAACAATCCAAATTAAGATTTTACATTAAAATATGAAGGTAGATCATTTTGACCAAAGGGGGAAATTAAATGCACAATTTCAATTAAAGAGACTATTTTAATATTCCAATTGGTATAATTATACTTAAGTTTCTATACAGATTTTACGTTTATAAAACTTTCATACAATAAATGTTAAGTACACAAACATTACTGTGACAGCTGAGTGGCAGGCATCAGGCAGATCATAATAACAATGGCACATAAAATGAAAAGTCCTCATCCATTACAGCATATTTACCTTCATACATATGAAAGTCCCTGTACAACAGCATTTAAAATCTAGTATGAGTATTGCTGGTCCCCAACTGATGAATTTTGTGTGTTGGCTCCATCTCCCGCAGAGCTCTCTAGGAAAGGTACACGCACAGTAGGTGGGCGGGGGGGGGGGGGGGTCCACCACCATCAAGCCGGACCATTCACTGCCTCCGGTGACTGAACTTGCTTGTCCGGTCTAGATGAGAATGACAAGCATGGATACCGTGGTAATGCATGAAATGCAAAATGAGCTTTTGTTTAGGGACAAGTATCATGTGATCCACCAACAGGTAGTCAGCTTCAGGCAAGGGGTCTTCTACTTGACCTGAATACCACTGTGTACAAACGCTTCATTTACCACCAACCCATAAATGCTACACACAGATTTTCTTGGCTCCTTCTACTGCTGTGACTTTCTGAAGGGAGCCATTGACAGTTTCATTTGGAGATTTTTCTTTCCCCACAAGGGGGCAGATGCTGGTAAGGAGTGAAGGTGACTTATGATTAAGACTTTGGAATAATAAGGAGCTTCGATCAAAGCATCAGGTTGATCTCCGATTGTTAAATCACACAGAAACACTATGCTAACAGGGTGTGTGGATGCTACCATAAAGGGGGTCCTCACCTATGCTGCGGACTGTTGCTGGCTGGTGGGCTTGATCCAGTTCTCACCAACACAGGATCCTCAGTGACAGCATATGTAGTGGATGGGTCTCCAGAGGGAGGTGACTTGTCCTCACTAAGAGAGAGATTGTGAGCTATTTTCAACAGCACAGGACACAGAGTGGAAACGGAACAGCGGCATGCAGAATGGAAGTCCAGGTCCACAGTGAAGGAGCAAAGAAAACAAAATGTATTGATGCACATGTTGACAGAAACCTCCAATTTTCAGAAATATTTAGCACATTCAGGGACATAAGATTACATCTAAGAAAACTGCCATTATCGATTGTTGCATCCAGGTAAAAGGCAATAGCACACTACTTCCTGCTTTACATCTACTTTCCTGTCTTGATTAGGCTGTAGTAACTACAATGAATTAATTCAATGAACAAACTTCTGTTACTCAAGTCATGTACAGAAAAGCTGCACTGCTGTTATAACTGCACATATGACATTATCAAAATTTATCATCATCTTTAATTCTGGAGCATCATAATATTGTTTTTCAGGATACAGGTACAGTGTACTTTTTGTTTTGCACTACAATTGCCTTGTAGGCACTGTGTGTACTCTTTATACCATGCCTGTCTGACTAAATGTGTCTGTGCTCTGTCGTTGATGCGGTTTGCACCAGAATTTCCCACTGCGATCAATAAAGTGAATCTTAATGTTAAGTGTACCAAAGGAAAGTTTCTTCAAGGCCAATTAGGACCTTTCAGTAGAGAATGAAATCAAACCAAAGACAAAAAGACCAATATTTCTTTTAATGGATATGCTCTCTTGCATTTCATATTCTGATGCTGCAAAGCCACCTCCTTATAGACACACCTTAGTCCGCAAGGCCATTAGAGAAAACCAGAGTTGCAAGTCGGTTAACCCTTAGATCCAGTGGACATCCCATGACATAGAAATTCATGCATCCAACTTAACATGCACATTAATATATGAAGATGGAAAAATCATGTTAGTCAAGAGGTTTATGAAAAAACACTGTATGTCTGACAAGTCCTGAATCAGCTGTACATACCAACAGGACTTCAACACTCTGAAGCCATTAGCAGTGAGAAAGAGAGGAGGCCGACGTAAGTAAAGAACAGGCTTCTACAGCAAATGCATGCTAAACATCGCTCTCGCCCTCAACCCAATACCTTTCAGATTAAAAATCCAAATCATAAATCACAACCAATGGGAACGGTACAATCACTGCCTGTTTAAACTCAATGTGAACAAGGTACAAGTTTAATCCTTTGTTCAAGTCAATGACTGACAAAAGTTTATTGCCCCATTTCACCCATCCTTATTTTTCACAGTCACGTTCAACACCAATGTTGAAAGGCATTATCTAAATTTAGTTGTCAGTCATTTATTACTTAAATACATACTTGTTCTCCATGTGAAGTGCCAAACCCTGTCAGGTGACAGGGCTTAAAACATGCTTAAAATATTATGACCAGCTCCACAAGTCAGCATGTACATTCACCCAGTTGATGTATGAATAAATAAAATTTCCCTCATGATAGAAATAGAAAAATCAAACCTATCATATTTCAAAGTTGCCCTGCATATGTAAAACAGCATGTCACACAAATTTTAACATTTGAGACCATTTTTAGGATAAAACAATTTTTAAAAAAGGTATGCAGTTTCATAACTAGTAAGAGTTCAATGTTTAATGTTAAAAAAAAAAAATTAAAAACGCGTCAGATTTTGGTCTTTGCTGTTATTGGGACCCTTGTATTACAACTAGAACTAATATGAAAATGTATTAAAGTGCTTCTTTAGGTCAGAGGCGGCTTCACAAGGACAGAAGGGGAGTCCATATTTGCTCATATGTAATAGATCCATTGATAATTTTGTTTCACAAGCAGCACATAACTTCTGCATGTCACTGGTGTTTTGCATTGGAAGGGTAATCAGGGTTTCTGCAGGTTTTCTAAGAGTAAATTTAAGACTTTAAGACCTTTTTAAGACCAAATAAAGAAAATTTAAGGAAAAAAAAAATATATCGTAGGGAAATTCATACGAATATATTATAATCATAAGAATTATGATATTATATTATAATCATAAGAATCATAAGAATATACGTATTCTTCGGCCTTCCAATCGCACTACATGTCTAAATAGCGCGCTTTAGAAGAAAGGGTTCTGACATGAAGCAGCATATAACGCCATCTACC